GCTCTTGCCGTTGAATTTTGTATGTACGGAGGTGTATGAAATGCTCCCCTGACCTAGAGAAAAGGGGAAAAAACGGATTACAGATTCAATGGATTGCTTTCTAGGGGGAAGACAATCCACAAAATTGATATTCCAACAATCTAGTGGGGTTTCTGGAAACTTGTTCATCAACAAATGAGCAAGAACGAGGCCAGCCATTGAAATTTTGGGGGGAAATTATGAACGTGGACTTTTATTGTTTACTATTGGGAAACAAATTATTTTTCAATGTGTATGACTTTCAACCAATCCCTCTAATTAATTGAGAATTTGGCGCACTTAAGAAGTAGTTGGTTTGATGAGATGATTATAAAATTTTCAATTGACAAAAGATATAGACAATGTCCTTTAAAATAAAATTATTACTGCATGGTTAGGGAGTGTGATAGTATTATTTAGTTCGAACAGTTTCACCTGTTGATGAATAATGTCTCTTTTAATGAAAACAAAAAAGAAATCATTAGGTTCAAATTAAGAGACAGATGCATGTGTTGAGGCTGAGGGTCGTTTTTTCCACACCTACAAGACGCCATCCCAAGAACGCACGACTTTGACTCAACAATTTGTATTTAAGTCTCTTCCATCACTTGTTGATCGAACAAGAACACCATTAAATTACTTAGGTATAATAGAATTCCTCCTTTCATATGAATTCGGATTATGAATCTTCCATCGGTGTTTTTGTAATTAACAAAAATTACGCTTTCTGCAAATCAACTAATGGAAATTTATCTACTAAAAAGTATAAGTTGATCCTTCAGGGACGAAGCCTGTCAGTTATATATATTGACCCTTTAAAAGCTGGTCGGACAAAATCAAGAACGGATCATACCAATTTTCAGCGCTAAATCATAATCAGAGAGTACAAATATTTGGATCTAGACACTTAAAACGAGACAAAGATATACAGTACCAACAAATGTGACAATTAAACATTTGTGAAACACCGACAAAAGTCTGTTGTTTTGCTTACCCTAATAATCTTGCATGCCCTCCGTCACGTCTCATCATCACCAGTCATGAATGAATTAATGCCACCACCCAGTGTCCTCAAAACAATGTTCACCAATTCCCTTTTATTCTTCTCTTCTCTCGTAGCATCTTGTTCTTTCGGTTGATCAAAAAATAAGGTAACTGTTCTTAGCTAGCACGAAACATATGCACATGACGGGGTAAATCGACAATAGCTAGAAATGGGAACAAACGGGCGACGGGTCAATATCCCAAACCCCCGTACGTGCATGTTTTGTTCTATCTTTTGATGTGTTAAAGTTTGAGGATCCAGTACCCTTTTCGATTCATCACATCCATCCCCTTCCCCCCACGAACCATTAATGAGATATGACACATTTAACATGACTATGTAGTACACTTTTGCATGTAATATTTTGTAACATGTGAATTTTTAACAGCTCGCAATTCATTCTATCGACCCGCGATAAGCGATAGCTCGGACATGGTTAGAAATCGACAGGATCATGGAAGGAGACATTCACGTGGCTGGTTTGACAGTTTGGAGATCTAAAGGTATAGTCCTGATCCAACTCGATTCTATAGTGGCGATATTGCACTTGATACTCATCTTCGCGCCAACTTTGTTCTGCAATGTCACAGACAGTCTCCAGTAAGCACAGTTTGGACCTTTCTCTGTACACTACTCGCATCTATATAATGGTTAATTTCTTGGCCGATTGTTTGGTCATATAAGGTTTGTATATTTGCAAATGTGTTACGATACGAGCCATTCGTAATAATCTAGAAAGTTCTGGGCTCATTTATTTTTAGTAGTTTTATTAATTAGTTAGTATTCCTTGTGATATTATTATTGTTTACTTGTCTTAGTAGGATTTGGGATTGTTTTCTAGTATGTTTAGGATTTGGTTATTGTTTTCTTATAGGAGTAGTATTCATATTTTGAGTAGGAGAAAGGAGATGTTCTATGCCTATAAATATGTACTCACACTTTCGTTTAATAATATGAGAAGATTGGAACCCAACTAGCTTAGTAGTTGTAGTCTTCCCAGCCTCTATTTCTCTTCGTTCTAAAGCAATTCTCGAATTCCTTTGTTCGATTCTTAAGAGACACGTGACGTGAACATTCTGATCCATAAAATCCATCAAACAAAATGTTTACATTGCGTTTTCATATGCATGCACAATTATTTGGTATTAGTTTTTGTATGATATTGGGTGAGCAACGGACGAGAAGACGGAAGAGGCTCGGCCCGCAGCCGCTGTTCAGCCCAATGTGCACGTCATTTGGTCTCCAACTCCCATACGAGTACGAAGAGATGCTTCTTCGTATAATACCCTAGTTGTTGTAGAGAATGGGTATAAATACTCTTGTACTTTGGCCACTAGCCGCTAAGTTCATTGATCTTAATAAGAGGATAGCTGAGGGTGCTGAACCCCCCGTGGATTAATCTCGATCATCAAACGATCGAGGATACCACGTAAATATAGTGTGTCTTGTCGCTATAATTTTACTATTTCTCATGGTATAAGAGCTGTGAGTTCCAGCTTTGTTGACAAGTTTGATTCGTCGGCGTCATGGTCAAGAGCACGAACGAATCCTCAGATAGCAAAGCGCCGCAGATTGATGGCGGCGTGAAGAAGGATCTGCCTTTTGAATATCAATTGCACAATCCAGACAGCTAGGGGAATATGCTCGTAGTGAGGTTCTGACGGCATCGAACTATGGAGAATGGTCGCTTGATATGCGGGATGCCTTGCTATCAAAGAACAAATATGATTTCGTTGATGGAACCATTGAGAAGCCAGCTGATCCGGTTGAACGGCGGGCTTGGGTGCGCTGTGATGTTATGGTGAAAGGATGGTTGAAGACCTCCATGGACAAGGAAATTATAAGTAGCATTCGTTTTGCTGAAAGCGCTCGAGCAATATGGGCGGATTTGACTTTTGAGCAAACGGTCTGGACAAGGGAGTGCCTCGCGAGCGTACGAGCTGCGACACTTGATCAACACTTTACAATAAGAAAAGAACTTTGTGTCTGCTTTCTATACCAAGCTTAGAGCTTTATGGGAAGAAGCATTGGCGATCTTGCCGATTCCGAGGTGCACTTGTGGGCTGTGCACTTGTGACGTATCACACAAGGTACGCGAACAACAAGAAAATTCCAGGTTTGTTCGATTTTCTAATGGGATTGGACGAGCCTTTTGCGGCTGTTCGTACGCAGGTGTTGGCCATGAAGCCCATCCCTTCTCTGCCCGAAGCGTACATAGTTGCTAATGAGGAGTAGCAAAAGTTGATCTCGCAGCAGCGACGACCCAAAACTAAGGTCGTTGTCTTTGGGGTGCGCGGGGAGAATGAGCGCAAGACACGCAGCGTGGGGGAGCGTGGTGAGCCTCGCTGCACTCACTGTCAGAAGATCGGCCATATGCATGAAACGTGTTATGAATTGATTGGCTATCCACCTCGTGATTGTGATCGACCAGGTGACAAGCAACATCAACAAAAACGTCGTGGAAATGGCAGTGAGATGGTGTGGCGTGATCCGAAGGCAGCGCAGGCAGAGGTTGAGCAAAGTCCAGTGGATGGGTTTACTGTTCAACAATTAGAACAACTCAAGAAGTTTTTTGAGAGCTCTCAATCAACTGGGGAAGATCCTGTTGCAAATATGGCAGGTATGATTTCTGAAACTTCTGAATGGTTGATTGATTCGGGTTGCAACGAGCACATTACTATGGATGACTCGTTATTGTCAAAGAAATAAGTAAACATAGAGGGACAACCAGTGCGTATTCCGAATGGGGCAAGTATTCCCGTTAAACATATTGGTTCTATTACTTTGCAGTCTAGGTTACAGCTTAGCCGAGTCTTGCATGTCCTTGAGTTCCGGTGCAATCTGGTTTCTGTGAGTATACTAGTGAAGGATAACAATGTCGCATTAATCTTTCTCAATGGTTTCTGCGTTATCCAGGACTTACACTCCAGGAAGTTGATTGAGAAGGGTGAACTTCGGGATGGACTGTATTATCTCTGACTGTTTGGGAATGGACGGTTGAAAGCTTGCGCAGTTAGTGGAAGAAGCTCCATTTCGGAAACAACGTGGCATGCTAGATTGGGACACCCCTCGTTGGAGAAGATGCAGCAGCTTGGTCAAGATCTTTCTGTTGTTTATAGTTCAAATAAAGAACTTTGTCACTCTTGTTCAAGGGCAAAGCAGACTCGTTTACCTTTTTTTAATAGTTCGGTGAAGGCAAAATCGGTGTTTGAACTTATTCATGTGGACATATGGGGTGGCTACAAAACCGCTTCACTTAGTGGTGCATATTATTTCCTTACCATTGTTGACGACTTTAGTTGTGGTGTCTGTGTCTATTTGATGCGTTATAAATCAGAGGTTAGTCGTTATATTCAGTTTTTCTGCAACATGGTATGGAAACAGTTTGGGTTACCAGTCAGGCGCATACAAGGGGACAATGGTCCCAAGTTCAGCACCGAGGTTCTCAAAGAGTACTATGAGACAGAAGGGATCCTTCTTCAGACTTCTTGCACTGATACGCCACAACAAAACGGCGTGGTGGAGAGGAAACATAGACATATTTTGGATACTGCGAGAGCCTTGAGGTTTCAAGCAAACTTGCCTCTTCGTTTCTGGGGAGAGTGCATACTTACTGCTGTTTATCTCATCAACAGATTGCCAACGACAACCACGGGTAAAACTCCGTTTGAATTGCTATTTCATAAGCCCGCTAGTTACCAACATTTGCGTGTGTTTGGGTGTCTAGCGTACTACAAAGATACTCACAGGCATCTAGACAAGTTTGTTGAACGAGGACGCACGGATGTATTAATTGGGTATGCCACGAGTCAAAAAGGCTACCACATATATGATCTCGCGACGAAGAAAATAATTACATCACGCGATGTAGGTTTTCATGAGCATGATTTCCCTTTCTAGTCCGGTGTTGAAAATCAGCTCCACTGGGTGCCACGTCATGTCTTACAAGCTGATCCCCCCGACGAGGACGAAGGACATGACTTGGAGCCACCTCGGTTGCCCTCGCCCGTTCCATCGTCGACGGCAGGTGCTAGTTCCTCACCGTCGTCGTCCAGCAAGCCTTCTTCTTCCGTTCCAGATGCATCGCACCAGCCCCCTGGTCCGAAGAATGGGGCAGTTCCTCCACCAGCTGATCAGGCCCCAGCGCCTGAAGTCGTTCTTCGCCAAAGTGACCGTGTTCGGTTTCGGCCCAAGCATCTGGAGCTGTACGACACGTCCACTATAGTTCGCAGCACAGCCACCCCTGGGGCTCAGGGAGATATTCAAGGAAGCACCTCCCTTCATGTTCACCATCCCTTGTCATCTTCTGTTAATTATGATAATTTTACGTCCTCATATTGTGCTTTTCTTACTGTAGTTACAAACAATGACGAACCTATGTCATTTTTGCAAGCCATGCGCGATCCTCGATGGCATGAGGCCATGATTCGTGAAGTCCTCACTTTGATAGAGAATGGGACTTGGACTCTTGTATAGCTCCCCCCGGAAAATGCGCCATCGGGACGAAATGGTTCGTCAAAATCAAGTTTCTCCCTGATGGAATGATTGAGCGTTTCAAGGCACGCCTTGTGGCGAAGGGGTACATGCAAATTGAAGGACTGGATTTCCACGACACTTTTGCACCGGTAGTGAGGCTGGTGACAGTCTGGTGTTTAATTGCCTTAGCAGTTAGTCGCGGATGGCACCTTCATCAGTTAGATGTAAACAATGCGTTCATGCATGGCGATCTTAAGGAGGAAGTATACATGGAGATTCCTCAAGGGTTTCGTGCACCAGGTGATACCAGAGTTTGTCGCATGCACAAGTCCATCTATGGCCTGCGACAGGACTCTCGTAACTGGTACCATAAATTTACGGCTGCTTTGTGTGGGTATGGCTTTCGCGCTTCACCTGCAGGCCATTCCTTGTTTATCTTTCCCGGGGAGCACCTTTGTTGTGGCTCTCATTTATGTGGATGACGTTATACTGGCTGGAAATGATCTGCCCTTCATCACTAGAGTCAAGACATTCCTGCATGACAGGTTTAGTATCAAAGACCTGGGCATCCTGCGATACTTCTTAGAACTTGAAGTGGCGCGCATGGCTGAAGGGGTAGCTCTCAACCGGAGAAAATATGTTTTAGACATACTGGAGGATGCCGGAGTGGAAGGATCTCGGCCGAGTTTGTTTCCCATCGAACAAAATCACCATTTGACACGTCCAACTGATGAGGTGCTAGCGGATCCCTCTCCTTATCGTCGACTCGTTGAGCGTCTTCTTTATCTGACTGTTACGCGGCCAGATATCACTTATGTGGTTAATATACTCAGTTAGTTTGTTTATGCTCTCAGTCCCATGCACATGGATGCTGCTTATCGCATACTTCGTTATCTCAAAGCTTCACCTGGCCAAGGTTTGTTTTTCCCTTCGAATAATCCTCTTCACTTGACGACTTATTGTGATGCAGATTGGGGAGGCTGTCAGAGCACTCGTCGATCCACTACAGGTTATTTCATCAGTCTCGGAGGTGCACTAGTGTCCTGGCGCACTAAGAAGCAACGCGTTGTTGCTCGTTCTTCCGCTGAACAGAGTACCGTGCGATGGCCAGTACGGTTAGTGAAGTCATTTGGCTGCGGTGGCTCTTGCGTGAACTAGGTGTTCACCACAAGACCGCCACACCCTTGCATTGTGATTATCAGGCGGCATTGCACATTGCGAATAACCATGTCTTCGACGAGCGAACTAAATACGTCGAGATGGACTGTTACTTTGTTCGCGAGCGTGTCCAGTCAGGTGAAGTACTTCCAGTCAAGGTGCACACTGAGCTACAACTTGTTGATATCCTTACCAAAGGACTGGGCGGTGATCAGTTCCAGTTTCTTTTGTCCAAGCTCAACGTTCGTGGCATATACCATTCAGCTTGCGGGAGAGTATTGGACCGAGAAACGCACGAGAAGACAGAAGAGGCTCGGCCCGCAGCCGCTGTTTAGCCCAATGTGCACGTCGTTTGGTCTGCAACTCCCATACGAGTACGAAGAGATGCTTCTTCGTATAATACCCTAGTTGCTGTAGAGAATGGGTATAAATCATGGTTCAGGAAACCGTACCGGACATTATACCGGACTCGTCTGTGGCATGGTATTTTATGGTATGACCGTGGTTCAATCGTTTTGTGCCGGTAAAATACCGGTTTTTATAATAATAATAATAATTTTGTCAAAAAAACCGTACCGGCAATATAAAGATATCGTTTCGGAATATACCGGAATAAAACCAGAATATACCGATACAATTAAAATTCCTAACGCCAATTTTTCAAAAAATATCGAAATTAAAAGGCAAGAGTTATAATCTTAACTAAAGTTAGTGTTTTTAGCCAAAAGGTACCGACTCTATATGATATAAGAATTAGAGGATCAGTTTGTAATTAACCAATGTACTACTTAGTGTACTTTTTGTACTGTTCGGAGAGACAAATAAATAAATAAAAAACTTTACCCTACTGTTGTACTCTCTCGTTCTCTCTCCTTCCTACAGTTCTCATCTTCTTCTCAATCTTATCTCCTGCAATGATTTATAAGAGAGAAAGTGAGAGAGGCGGAACCTTCTGCATGTAGGCGATCGTCTCCTAAAGCTCATCCCGTCTTCCGGCGCTGAGATTTTCTCTATCTCTGGCTTGGTTCAGGAAACCGCTCGCCGATCACGGGTCTCGTCCCTTTCGTCGGTCGTAAGGCATTCGCCAAAAGAGAAGCGGAGCGGAGCGGCGGGGCGGGGGAAGAAAAGAAACGATGAAAGCCTCCACTTTTGAGTTTCGATTCGCTCGTTGATTTAAAGATTAGGGTTTTGGACGTTTGTTGTTTGGATGCCGGCTTTTTACTTATTTATATTGGTTGCGTATAACGGCGGCGTTTTATTGAAAATAGTCTACCGCCGGTTACTACAAAACCGGACGATATTTCGTTTCTTGCCGTAAAAACCGAAAAAATCGGCCGGCACGGTAAAAAGACCACTGACAGCCTACCGTTTCGCTTCTGGTTCGGTTCCCGAATTTTCCGGTTGAACCGTCCGGTACGATCCGGTTTCCTGGTCCATGGTATAAATACTCTTGTACTTTGGCCACTAGCCGCCATGTTCATTGATCTTAATAAGAGAATAGCTGAGGGTGCTGAACCCTCCGTGGATTAGTCTCAATCATCAAACGATCGAGGATACCACGTAAATATCGTGTGTCTTGTCGCTATAATTTTACTATTTCTCATATGACAAGAATGAGATTTCTAGTTTCCACACTTTTAATATTATGGTGAGTTACAGGGTGGGGTTTTTTTTTTTTTTTTATAATGTACAGGGTGGGTTAATTTGACTAATAGAATGGAAGGTTGGAGATGTAAACTGCTACATAGATGATAGTTGATACAGTTTGGTAGTATGAGGTGGACAAAAGTTATCATTTCTACCATGAGGAGGAAAGCACATATTCTAATTTACCTAGGAAGGTCAACTTCGTGACGTCGCATGAAGGGAGAAAAAGCGGACACTAAAAGTTGGATTGGTGAAAAAAAAAAGAGGAAATTGAAGGGTTGTGGCCTGTGGGATTTGGGTGGGTGAGTCGTGGTCGTGGAGGCCTGGTCGTATTCTGTACGTGGCAATACGAACAGCATGTAGTAATATAGTAACTTTTTTTTTACAAAGGGAATTTTATTGCACTTCAAATTAATCAATTACAAAGAGGAGAAAGAACCAACAATCTGGTTCCAACAAGAGGAAGTCCAAAGGCATTTGGTTACAAACAAAGCTGTGTAAGACAAAATGCAGCAACAAAGAACACAACACAGTCTGCAAGCAACCACCCGGAAAGAGCAAAACCCTTGACCGAAAACAGATCATCAAGAAACTCTCTTGCAAACAACCAATCAAAGTGCAACAAAACCATTTCGCTAAAAAAAAAAGTGCAACAAAACCACAATCAGCTTGTCCGATATATCGAAATCCATGGTAGTTGAACATCATCACCCCATGTGCCGCCTCCTGGGGAAAACTCAAGGACATCCATCACAGTGAATCTAGAAACTAGACTGCATGGCGGTGGAAGAGGATATAACCAGATTGCTTCAAGCTGAAGAGGCAGAGGAGGTCGAGGCAGAGAGATCAGGTTCGAAGAAGAACAGAAGCTCCCAAGGTAGCCACAAACCTCCACGAAAACACCGAATCCCAACCGCAACCACCGGAGAAGACCCAACCCACCACCATCCGACAGCTCACCAAGCCACTCAGACACCTAGGGAGGTCAGAGAGGGAAAGAAGGGAATGGCTTCACCTTGAAGATGAGGCCACCAACGGGGGACAAACCCACCATCTAGATCTGGAAGAGGCTCCCAAGTTGCAAACTCCAGCTCCTACGACGAGCAAGCCCAAGAACATAGAACCAAGATCTGAAAGGAGAAAACTGAAAGCCAGAACGGCTGGAAATCCAATTGAAAACTGCCCAAGACACAGGCACGAGCACTAAAGCCAGATAAGGAAACAATAGCAGAAAAATAAAAAGTTTTGGGCTATTGCAGGTCACCTAAAAGGAGCCGGCGGCAGTCCCCGGAATCAGAAAAAGAAAGCTGGAAGAGGAGAAAAGGCAGAGCAAATTTCAGAAGGAAAAGGTAGAGAGAGGGGCGTGATAGAGTTTGGTATTTAGTAATATAGTAACTTACTGAGGGTAAAAACTAAAAAGAGATTTTTCAGAAAGGGGTATTATAATTTCAAGGTAAGAAAGGGCTGTTGCCTGTTGGGATGGGGCGGGGTTTTGGGTCGTAACTCTGGGCCTGTGTGTGGACGGTGGCTTCTTGTACTGTCCCACTTCAAGAAATTCCCCCGTTTCACTTTTCTTTCTTCTGGCCCAAGGTAAATTCTCCTTTCTTCCCTTCCTTTTCTTTTAACTTCCACAATTTTCACTCTTAACTACTAACAAGTGAAACTTTGACACCTGCTTGGTACGCTTGATTCCTTCATATAGCAAGTCCAATCTTCTGAAAACAAGAAATTAATTGCCACCGTCGTTACCGAGTGATTTTTACGATACGACATAATTTTCAAGATAATGAATTCGAACAATGATCAGTCTGTCTGTTTGGTTTGTGTCGTCTTTTATTTGTCCTCGATTGCTCAATGTCGATTCCGTTTGGTAATTATTTCGGTAAGAGCCACCGAGGAGAATAATTGTGTCATAGGTTTGTCAATGTTGCATACAAACAAAAATATTGAACAGGAAGCTGTTTGCAATTAGTTAATTAAGAACATGACTATATTTTGTTTTGGATCTATATTAAATAATATCTCATTGCCTAAGTCCAATTCCAGATCATGATAATCACGCAACGCGCGGATTAAGCAAATTATTAGTTGCTCTCTGCATCATGCAACGTCGGGCAGGAGCCAAAAGCTGACTGAAAATTAAAGCTTATCCAAATATCACCATCAATATCATCTACCCAAATTATTTATTTAGCCTAATTTGCTTCCTAATTACAGTCATCGGATTGCAACTGAAACCTTTCTTTAGTTGCATAAATTTGGTTTAGGGAAACGTTTATCTTTCTTATTTTAATCAAGGATATTCCCTATATATATATATATATATATATATATATATATATATATAGTTTACGCTAGCGTACGCCTGGGCGTACGTTAGACTACCGTACGCCCGTTTGAGTTTTGCCATTTAGATCATGAATTAACCGGAGTTTTGGGCATGACCCTAACCACTAATGGATAAACCCCAGTCCCTAGTTTTCTAACCCAAATCATGAGATTCGTTTAATCTTGAAATGAAAATCAACAATAATTTCGACAAATCAGAACCGTTGATTTTCATTTCAAGATTAAATGAATATTATGCTTTGGGTTAGTGAATTGCGGACTAGGGTTTACCCATTAGGGGTTAGCGTATAATATCATGCCCCGAACTCCGGTTAATTCATTGTCTAAATAGCAAAACTCAACGGGCGTACGGTAAGCTAGGGTACGTCCATGCGTACGCTAGCCTTTGCCATATATATATATATATATATACCTCTTCCGCTCCACTCAGTGGCATACCAAAATACAAATTGTGCAAGTCACTGTTCTATCCAACGAACTGGTTTGTTTGATGGAAAATTACTAATTAGTGGTTGATATTCCACCGATTTTAGAATCATAGTGCATACATCGGGTAGGTTTGGTTTGGAGCTATTATAGATGTCAAAATGATTTTGGTGCAATTTTGTAATTTGTTGTTCACTCTTTCATCCAAATTCACATTTGTATTTCAATTATTATGAGAAATTTGTTGACAGTAAACTCAACATTTTATAATTATAATGAGACTGACATGGTTGTTTATTGGGAATTGACACAATGAATTAAAAAAATGTACAATCATTTGTGCGAGCTATGAACTGCCCTCCAACGCATGGAGCTAGCTTGGAAGTTAGGATACCGCATAATAGAGATACAACTCGACTCCAAAAATTGTGGTCCAACTCCTTGTCGATCTCGGACCTGCACACCATCAACATGCCAACATTGTTCTTCAGTACTCGTCCAATATGAGAAAGTCAAAACGGCTAATATTTATAAAGAAGCAATCTTTTTAATTAATTGTATTGTCTACAAGGGCCGCATTCTTTTATTTAATACCATTCGATTAGTTTGTCGGATTGTGATATCAGACATTCACTCATAAATGACTCTATTAGTGGATCCATATCGCATCAGTTATTAACTGAAAGCTTACCCAAAATCATGAATGATGAACATATGCCTTAATATAAATAAATAAACCTTACCCTTTTCTCTCCTCCATATATCCACAAATTTTCACATGATAAGATAAAACGGAGTGGAGAACCGTTCTTTTCTGGATCTTGCTTAATAATATGCCAAATATTAATGATAGTATGGGTAACCTTTTTCTGACTCCAAAAAACAAATCTACCCAAAATCACAAGTTGAAATTTCCACGTCAAAAAGAACTGACCCATCCTTCGATCCACCAATTACCAAGAAATCGACTAATGATTCAGAGGCTGGAGCTAGCAACTAGAACTAGAATGAATCAATCAATGAATAGCCTAATAAATAAAAGACTTCAATCTTCACCCTCACCCTCTTTCTCATGTGATTGATTTCCCTTTTCTTTTTACCTTTTTATCTTCACCTCTCCTTTTCACCTCAAAACAAAAGCTTCTTCAGCCTGTAAAAGATCTTACCTACGAATATTTTTACAGTTTAACTGCATCGCCCTCCTCCATTACTCAGATTTCCCACCATTAAATTCCCGCCCTACTCTACTCTCCCTCCCATGACTGATGACGTGTTCATCGGGAACCCACCTCCATTTAAGAGAATAAAAAATTAAAAATCCCCCCTTATTTTATATTTTGTTTGTTAATTTAATTTAGCTTCCCCTCTGCCTCGGTCCAAAGCTGGTGGGCCTACCGAGGCGCAGAAGGCCCAGGTGATACCCACTGCCACACCCGCCCCGTCTGTGATTTTAACTTATTATAAATACTAACCCTAACCCACATCTCCCCTTCCACTCTGCAATTCAATCCTTCACTTCACTCGCTCTCTCTCTCTCTCTCTCTTCTTTTACACCTACTTTTGCTCTTCCTCATCTTTGAATCCGTGATCCCAAAATCAATGGCGGCAGCAGTCTGCACGCTGAGCCACAGCACGAGCGCGCCACCGCAGTTCTACTTCGACGAGAAGTGGAAGCTCTCCAAGAAGGAGTCCTCCTCCAGGAGCTCCCGATCTTGTACCGGCGCTCCCGCCGCCGTTGCGCCGCTGATGAGGAATTCCTCCTCCTCGTCGACGTCGTCGTCGTCGCACAGGAGGTGTTCGTTCACGAGGAAGTGCGCCAGGCTGGTAAAGGAGCAGCGCGCTAGGTTCTACATCATGCGGCGGTGCGTCACCATGCTCATCTGCTGGCGCGATTACAGCGATTCTTGAAAACAATCCAGATTCGGGAGAAGAAAAAATTGAAGAAATCTGTTTGAGTGACCGCCGCGGTTGAGGAGACTCGATCGGCCAGATTTAATCGATGAAGATTGGAGATCTGTATTTGAGATACAGAGAGATCCAATTATTGACGGACGGCGCCCTGGGGTCTACAGGTCCAAATCAACACCACACTCATCTCTCTCATCTGTTTTTTTTTCTTTCTTCGGGATCTCGATGTTTCCCTGGTGGCAATTTTGTTCGGGTGTGAGAATCGGGCCGGTCGATTCCGGTATTCCAAACTACCGTCCTCAGATCCTTCTCTTTCTAGGCAATTTTCAAGGCAGCCAAGCAGAGGATTTCGAAGCCAGAGGAGGAAGATTCAAGAAGAAGATCCATCACTCCATTTGTATAAATAAATTTCCATAATACTGCACATGTAAATAGTATCCGTAAATCTTCTGTTTCAGATTTTTTTTTTTTTTAATCTCCGTCGGGTTCCGTACATCTGAAACTAAACCGGAGAAGGTGATCGGAGCTTGGGGGTTGCTCCGCTTTTAATTAATCCAATTAATTGCGACTGTTAAATCAGTTATTATTGAGAGATTAATTGACGAGTCAAATTAGTTACACATATCTAATGGCCCGCCGCCAGATTTTTTTCTACGGAAATGGTTGGTCATAGATCGGCCTCGGCTTCTTTCATTTCCTTTGCCTAGCTAACAAATTAATTCCAGTCCTGGGATCTGACATGCAAATGCTAATTGGAAAAAACGGTAAATCTTTCTTTCCCCCCTTTTCTGCGAGCCGTTTGCCAGAACAGACTACAGAGGATAGGGAGGGAGAGAGAGATTCCATTGAAGTATTTGGGGAGGTTGGGCTGTTAAATTGTTTTTGTTAATAATATAATCATGATGATGAATTAATTTTGAGTGAGCGAGCTAGGTGAGCTCCATGGATGGATCTGGTGTCCTTGATTTCCGAGTCACACTGCGGCTCAAATTGTGTGCTTTGGCCACTTATCAAAACCGCCATTGTTGCATCGTACAAAAAAACTAGTGAGAGTGGTAGCATAGTATTAGTAAGTTGGGCACTGTTAGCTTAGCTGAGTATTATATTATATATGACTAATAATAATAATATACTTTCTGATATTGACTAATTTTTAATTAATCTAATGGGGAGTGATGAAATTCAGAAAAATAATGGTTTTGGCGTTTTGGCCTTTGGGGGTGTCTTCAGAAGTGAAGATGGATGAACGTGGGTGATGACTGATTAGAGGAGAGGTTGTGTTTACACCAAAATAATTTTCATTAATTATTGCTTGTTTGAACAGCTTGACCAATTTAAGTAGTTGGTCCATGTGTTACACGAATGGTCCAATTTATCACGTCAGGCCATAGGTATAATGGATGGTAGTGTCCAAATACATGGATACCATCCAAAACCCATAATGGATGGTAGTGTCCAAATACATGGATACCATCCAAAATCCATAATGGATGGTAGTGTCCAATGTAATGGATACCGTCCAAACCCTAATGGATGATGCTAGGGTATGGTGACCATTTAATATGCGTACCATCCATGGACTGTTGTCTTAGTCAACATGGATACCATCCAATTTATTTTGTGTATGGTGACCGTCCAATGGTCAAGTGACATGATGATGTGTCGAGGTGGTTACCAGAAGCAGCACTTGACTTGCAAAGAACGCTCGGGGAAGTTACTGGATGCTACGTGGAGCTGATTTTTGGGAAGAGCGAGAGAAGGCGTTTAGAGGGTGAGGCACAACAAAACTGGCAGCAAGACTCATGACGAAGAACAGACAAATCATACCACAACAAGTCTCGTCAAAATTTATCTTTTCTCTCTAGAACAGTAACCGTAGCAGTAGCACCAGGGACCCTCCAACGAGGCTTCTCTGTTAGTTGTAGTTAGTAGTTGCGGAGCTCTCAAGGAATCTCCATAGGAGTAGAGGTAAAAGTAGCCAGTTCCTTTGATGTATGCATCGAACACCCTCGTTCGAACAGTATTTGAAGAGGTGTGAACCGAGTAACATCGTTTTCCGTTTTCTTGAAGTCAGGGTGCATTGATCACGCGAAATTCCACCTGAAACAAATTGGCACACCCGGTGGGATAACGTGTGTTCGATATGGCTCCGCGACGAAGGATTCAAGATGGTGATCCTCCACAAGGTGCTGTGGAGGAGGGGTAGTTGGTTAACGTTGAAGTTGACCAAGCAGGAGGAAACAATGCTGGAGCAGAGGTGCCAAACATCTAGGCGAAGCAGTGGTGTCTCTTCATCAGATGATGGAGGAGAACCGCAAAGCAACGGAGGAAAACCGCCAAATGATGGCGGAGAGCCGCCGGTTGATAGAGGAAGCCAGAGCTATGGCTCATCAGGTAAACTCTCAAGTTGATTTTCTCAATTCCCGCGTAGATAGACGATTGGCTCAATTTTTTGAGTTGGTAAACAAAAATACGAATGATTTGGGCGAGTTTAGGCAATTGTTGAATGGACCAGTTTTACAAACTAGGGCTTTGTCTTCAGATGGTCGAGACTTTTCAAATCTTGAAAGTGAAAACATTAACCTACCATCCAACGGTGGTGGTCGAGGTGAGCAGCCCCGCCCGGTGAACCCTACACCACCGGTGGTAGCCACCGTAGAACACCTCAAAGGTTGAATGTCGGCGTGAGTCACGCCACTTCATCTCAGATTCATGTTGAGCAACCGCCACCTGTGCAAGGTGTTGCTCGACAAAACATTTCAGAAGCCATACCCTACATGGCTCCTATTAATGTTGGGTTTGGTTTGGGTCCGAACAATGTTGACCCAGTACCACCACGTGGGTACCCGCAGCCAATCCCACCCCCTATGAACATGCAAGGCATGGATCCCGGCGGTTTCATACCGCTAGGGGGCACCAAGGGGGGCATGATGTGAATACACTCCGTGATCAGATGTCACAGTTGTTGGCTGAGCAGTTTGGTTTTGGTATGAGACCAACGATGCCACCTGTTTATCGAAAGCCGTATCCGGAGTGGGTGGATAGAATGTATCCGTTCCCAAGAGGGTTTAGGGTACCGGAGTTTGTACCTTTTACTGGAACGGGTGATCAATCCACAGTGGAGCATGTTGGGCGATTTACTGTCCAATGTGGTGATGTAGGTGATTTTGTCAAGTTACGTTTATTTGGCAACTCTTTGACAGGACCTGCTTTCGCATGGTACGTTAATTTTCCATCTAATTCAGTGCAAACTTGGCAGAAGTGACCATGGCTGACTTGGCATGTATGCGCCAGCAACCAGGGGAGACTGTGGAACACTTCTTGACAAGTTTTAAAAATGCGCGTAATCGCTGTTTTGTGAACTTGACAGAACGTGAATTTGTCAAGCTAGCACAGGGTGGTTTAAACTTTGAACTTCGTAAAAAATTTCAAGATAGGGAGTTCTCTGATTTATTCCAGTTGATGTCATGTGCGGTTAGGTACGAGACTCTTCTACGAGAAGAAGAGAATAGAAGTAGTGCATCGAGGGGAGTGTACCACCCCAACTTCGATTATGCCGTTAACCATGTTGCTCAGGATGTGGATGGTGTCGAGATAGATCTGGCTGAAATTGTGCAAGGAAAGCCATATGTTTGTGCTTCCTTAGCCAAAGTAGATAATGAACAGCTAGTTGGGAAACCTAATCGTGCTCCAGTCCAATATAGAAGATTTTCTTTTGATGTTAGCAAGTTGGACTTAATTTTTGACCAATTGTACAAGGATGGTCAGATTAAGCTGTCTGGGGGGCATAGTATACCACCCCCTGAGAAGTTAAAAGGAAAACGTTATTGCAAGTGGCATAATAGTATGTCACACGCCACTAACAGTTGTGTGGTTTTTCGTAATGTTTTGCAGGATGCGATTGACAAGGGACGCATCAGGTTCCCAGACCCTAAGAAGGATGCCATGACAGTGGAAACTGATCCATTCCCAAATGTCGTGGGCGTCAATATGGTCAATCCTGATTTTTCAAAGATTGACTTGCCACGCTTCAAGCTGGTACTGGATACAACACCACAGCCAAGTGGCAACTCCAATGTCATTGTGCAGGGTGGTTCGTCATCAACTGGCATGCAAGATGGGCCACGTATTGATCTGGCCGATGAAGAAAAGTTGTGTGCACAGTGCAAAGGGAAGCTGAATCTTGGTGAAGGTAGACCAACCCAACCAGTCCGTCAGAGACTTGGTCCTCAAAGACCATTCAAGCCAAGGTATCCACCATATGAACGTCACGTGGAAGGAGTGCGTGCACCTGCATGGGGAAGAGGCCAACGTAGACAATGGGTTGCTCAAAATGCCCCACCCTTCACAAGTGCGCCTTTCAAAAGTGCACCTTTTGGACTCTCCCTACCTGCCAGGAGTTCACCACCTGTCAGAAGAACTTTCAAGATGCCTAATTTGCCATCAAGTGGATGGCATACGTATGATGTTCGTCGTCAACAGCCAATTGCACTGGATGGGATGACAAGGACACAACATAGAAGGTTCCTTCGCAAGAATGCCCAACAGAAGAGGACTTACAACATGCATACCAATGTTCGTGTGAACAACTCTGCTACCACTGGTCTCAGGGTCACAGTGTCTGATAGCGGCAAGAATGCAGAGAAGAAAGAGGAAGCCCCAACGGATGATGGAATCCTTCATAGAGGAAGAGATGTTGGAGTTAGAACATCCAAGATCAAAGTTTGAACGGAATAGCAAGGACGATGAGGACGATGATCATAACACATCCACAACCATCCAGTTTGGGAGTTTGCCACCTGTCGTGGTAAATAATTACATTTTGCCCATGATCTTTCACTTTGAAGTGGATGGTGAGAGAGGAGATGTTGGAATTGAAGCGGAGGATGAGGAAGTGGATGAAGCAAGCCATGAGCAAGCCATCGCAGAGTTGATTGGTGGGTTTGCCGAGCTGGATTTGGATGAGGAGGATGAAGAGTCCCCAGTTGCTGAACTGGTGACCGAGTTCGCAAGTTTGGCACTAGAGGATGAGCCGTGGAGTGTCATGATGGCCCGTACTGGAACAAGAGTCAACTTGTCTGCTGAGACAGCTAGGCAACACAAGAGTTCCCAACAAATCCTAAGGGAATTGTACGAAGCTGGACACAAATATGTGGGAGTACTTGGTGAGGATGATGGTCGGTATCCTTACTACGTATTGTACCAAGGACCAGAAGTATCCACAAGTCTTCCTGTTGAGAACTCTACATGGGGTTCAGAATTTGAGGAAGAAGATAACTCTGTGGTTGTCGAAGAGAAGCTAGATGAAAATAGTGCTATGCATGTGGCAACAAGGAAGGGGAAAGAGGTTGTCATTGAAGGATCAACAGTCAAGGAACCAAGTCGAGTTATGGTTTTCAATGAGCCAGATGCAAAGATGCTTCGACATCTCAGGCCATTGTACATAAAAGCTCAAATTGAAAATGTACCAGTGTCAAGAGTGTTGGTTGACAATGGTGCTGCTGTGAACGTGATGCCCACACGTATGCTCAGGAAGTTGGGGAAAAGTGAAAATGATCTTATCCCAACAGAGGTGT